AGCTCCATAGGGAGCTCCACCGAAGGCCCCAGTGGTTGCTCTCGCATGCGTTTCCCCCACCCTGGGCAGCGTTTCGTGGCCGCATACGGAGCTCTACCGAAGGCCCCTGCGGCTGTTCTCGCATGCGTTTCCCCGACCCTGGGCAGCGTTTCGTGGCCCCATAGGGAGCTCCACCGAAGGCCCCAGTGGCTGCTCTCGCATGCTTTTCCCCCACTGTGGGCAGCGTTTCGTGGCCCCATAGGGAGCTCCACCGAAGGCCCCAGTGGTTGCGCTCGCATGCGTTCCCCCCACCCCGGGCAGCGTTTCGTGGTCCCATAGGGAGCTCCACCGAAGGCCCCAGTGGCTGCTCTCGCTTGCGTTTCCCCTACCCAGGGCACCGTTTCGTGGTCCCATAGGGAGCCTCACCGGAGGCCCCAGAGGCTGCTCTGGCATGCGGTTCCCCCGCCCAAGGCAGCGTTTCGTAGACCCATAGGGAGCTCCACCGAAGGCCCCCGTGGCACAGTTCGCATGCGGCTCCCCCACCCAGGGCAGCGCTTCGTGGCCCCATAGGGAGCTCCACCGACGGCCCCAGTGGCGCAGTTCGCACGCGGTTCTTCCGCCCAGGGCAGCGTTTCGTGGCCCCATAGGGAGCTCCACCGAAGGCCCGCCCCAGTGGCGCAGTTCGCATGCGGTTCCCCCACCCAAGGCGGCTCTTCGTGACCCCATAGGGAGCCCCATCGAAAGCGGCAGCCACAACGCGTTACGAGCAATTACTTATGGTTGGGCCCTTCGCCAGGATACTGTTTTTTTTTCTGTGTGGTTCTCGTGCCAGCTTCCCTCAACAGCAAGGGAACCTCAGCTGCACTTCAACCTTCCTTCTTCCTCTTGTCTTCTTTCTTGTACTTCGTTTTTTCGCACTCATCGTCGACGTCGCGTCGACCTTATCTCAACCTCAGCGTGACTCCAACTGAATTTCATTTTCCAATGTTTGATTCCCAACCATCCTGTGGTGTTGGGTCCTCGTTTTGAAGAGACAGCGCCCCGCGTCCCACGTTCTTCCTTCCTCCTCCTCCCCCTCCTCCTCCCCCTCCTCCCTCCTCCCCCTCTTTGCTTCTGCTCTCGGAACACCTTTCACACGTTTCGTAGCCCCATAGGGAACTCCACCGAAGGCCCCGGTGGCTGCTCTCGCATGCGGTTCCCCCACCCAGCAGCATCTCCCCAAACGCCAGCCCTTGGCGTGCCGAGTCAGACTCGGCGTGTGGACCCCAAGCAGACGGGTGGGCTTCAAGAAGTCACACCCGAACATACACTGGTGAATGCAAGCGGTGCTAACGCACGGCAATGGGGAGACCCACGCCATCCCAGGAAACTTCCAAGACGACGCTCCTGCAGGGCACGTTTGGATGCTCCATGATGCAACATACACCAGCACATGCACAAGTGACAAGAAACCTCACCGTTGTCCTCAGCAACTCGTTGGCCCACAGCAATTTGGCGGCGCTCGGCAGCAGTGAGGCTGGGGATCCCCCAAGGCGCCTCGCTGCTGCGGATTGGCCTAGGCCCGGATGCGCTTGCCAGGGGAACGCACCGAGCCGTAGACCAGGTTTCACAAGGGGGGCCACACATCACCCCCACGACGAATCCCTGGGTGACTAACCCAAGCCAATGCCTAATGGTGCCTTCGTCCCGGAGGTCCCCACGGATCCTGTCGTTCGCAACGTCCACAGACAAAACCTACAACAGGTCGCGTGAGCGGAGAGCAGACGTTCAGTTCCTTGATCCAGTGCTGAAGATCCCTCGGCCGACGCCGCCCAGAGAACAGGTGGAGCACGTAAACGCATCCGAAATCGTCCCGTGGGATCCTCCTCCTCCTCCTCCTCCTCCTCCTCCTCTCCTCCTCCTCCTCCTCCTCCTCCTCCTCCCCCTCCCCCTCCCCCTCCCCCCCCTCCTCCTCCTCCTCCTCCTCCTCCTCCTCCTCCTCCTCGCCCCCGAGGGGAGCGGCTCTCCCTGCCCTTCCTCAGCTCCCCAGTCAAAATCGGCACCAGGCGGAACAACAGCCAGCGGGGGGGGGGCCCTGGAGGGAGGCACGGCATGGGAACACGATGGGCGGGGACAAGGGCCTTTCTCCTCGTGCACCCCCACAGCACGCAGGGATCGGCTCAACTGCGAATCCTCCTCGTTGGGGTCCACGACCTCCGCGGCAGACAACGGGGCCAGGAGAGCTGCCAGGCTCCCCAAGCAGCGCCTGCACCGATGCCGCAGGTGTCGTTTCAACCTCAAACGCGTATGGAACTCAATGCCGCAAGCGAGACACAGAACCTCGAGCATATAACTGGGGCAAGTCGAAGAACGGATGCACCTTTCATGCACTGGCACTATTAAACACTGCCTGGCACTCGTAGCAGGGAAACGCAGCGGTAGCAGCAGGCAGCGGCAGCGAGAAAGGAGGGGAGGGAAGACCCGACTCTCGAGCGACACGACCAAGCTCCCTGCGCCAAACCGAGAGGTGCTGCTGATCTCTATGCCAAAAACGTCTGCATTCCCATGCAGCTCTCAGGAGGCTGGAAAAGGCACGCAGCGACGAGCGAATAAACGCAACGCGGTCCTGAAAGGCAACCGGGTACCCATCTGACGCGCCAGGGGGAGCAAACATCGCCACCACTCCCAGATCCGCCTCGAAAGCACATGACCAAGACCCCGGGACCCCAACCTGCAATTGAAGGAGTCGTAACAACTGACGTAGGGCACATCTAATCAAGCGATTGGCGTAGCGAAGCCTGCGAAACCACAGAAGTGCCTCAGCGAGCGCAGCCTCGCCGCCCATCAAAACTGCATCCTCGCATGGAAGCTGCCCCGTTGCTGTCCACGAGCAGTGCTGGGCCTTCCTGGAAACACCCACGTAGGCAGACGTAAAGTTACTCCAAGCTTTAACACGGGGCCACACGTCGAAATTGTAGCATAAGCGAGACAACACAAGGCTGGATGTGAACTGAAGCTTGGGCTTAAGGGGGATGGCAGGATATTTATGAACAGCCTTGGTGAAGGGTCGGAGAGCCTGCATGCTGCTCTGCCTACGCCATGCAACCTCGGGCCCCATGTCTTCACACTTCTCGATTTGTGCGCGTCATCCTTGCGCAGGGGCCATGCTAATCTTCTCTGTATCGTTCCAATTTTCACGGATGATCCCCGTAGGGAATCCCTTCTCCTTCTCCTCCTTCTCCTCTTCCTCCTCATCCGCTGCCTGTCCCATTACGGCCACAGGGGCACATTTAGCATGCCCCGTACACATCGGCCACAGGGGCACACTACGGTCACAGGGTCGAGTTTCCCTGGACATTTCGGCGCACCCGTACATGTTCCTTGCCCCGTAGAGGGCTCCATATACGGCCCCACTGGGAAAACTTGCGCGTGTCCTCCCTGCCAATCTTGGTACATCCCTTTCAAGGATAGTGCATGAGAGGTTCACCACCGACGTTGCATTGACTTGCATAGGGTCGTGCCCCTCGCCAGGCTAAGGTGAGACAGGGCGAGTGTCAGCGGCATCAGGGCGATAGCCCCATGTCGAAAACGATCCGCGCTCCATCCGTGTAGCCGCGGTCTTGTTCGTCAGACGGGTGTGAGCGGCGCCACGCTGAAAGCTCAGAGCGGCTTGCCATCCATCCACGTGACTTCGGCGGCACCCCGACATCTATGCGTGCGTCGCCCCAACACCCAAGGGCGACGCGCGCAGCGAGACATCTTGTGGTGTAGCGTGGCGGCGGTCATTTTCTGGCCGTGCCGCTCGGGACATGATATACAATAACATGGTTATTCTATATGTTCGTGTCGGGCGCGCGCTTCCAAGGAGGACACGTAGTACTAGTATCCTTCTGTGCGTTCCATAGCTTGTGAAATCTCAAGCTTCGAGGTCGTCAGGAAGTCTCCAACGAAGCGCCTGGCCCGCCCTATCGACACGCCTGGTGGGTGATACGGTGAGTTTTTTCGCCAAGGAAAGTCACGGAGGAGGAGAAGGAGGAGGAAGAGGAGGAGGAGAAGGAGGAGGAGACGGAGGAGGAGGAGGAGGAGGAAGAGGATGAGGTTGAGGAGGAGGACGAGGAGTAAGAGGGGGACGATGATGATTAGATGAGGAGGAGGAGAAGGAGGATGACCAGTGTAAACCCAAGAGTCATAAACGATGTCTGAATAAACCCTCCCTCCAAGCTCCCTCTCCATAGGCCCCTCTACAAGGGTTCATATTCACTGAGGGAACTGCCTTGTTGGAAGACAGCCGTCTGAAGACCCTGATGCATGCCAGATCAATGTTCTCGGGATTCCAACTTCACGGATCTACCTGACTGCTGCGTCTGACGATCTTGAATCGTGCCAGAACGACATCCTCGGGAATTCAACACCGCGAATCAACGTAATTGTTGCACCCTCATAATCCTGAATCCCTCCAGGACATGATTTCTGGCCCGCTGACCAGTGGAATCCGTGAAACTCTTGCAGAAAAAAACGACTGTGCTCGGCGCTGAGGTGAGAGCCACAATTCGTGAAAGAACCGCCCTCAATGCGAGAATCCCTTGCAATTTTTAAAACGAATATGCGCGGTGTTTAGAGCCACATGTTGAAAACGACCCGCCCTGAATCCGTGAAAGTCTTGCAAATACTTGAAACGAACTCGCGCGGCGCTAAGGCAAGAGCCATATTTTGAAAACCACCCGCTCTCCATTTGTGAAGCTGTTGTCAGTTTTTCAGCTTCAGGGTCATAAGTGGCGAGGAAGTCTCAGGTGAAACGCCCGGACCGCCCAAAAAACTGGCCTCGGGGTGCGACAGGGAGAAGTTATTTATAAGGAAAAGGAATGGAGCAAAAGGGAGGAGGGGAAGGGGAAGGAGGAGGAGATAGAGGAGGAAGAGTAGGAGTAGGAAATGGAGTAGGAGTTGGAGTTGGAGTGGGAGTAGGAGGAGGAGGAGGAGGAGGAGGAGGAAGAGGAGGAGGAGGAAGAGGATCTAAGACAAGACAAAACCGGATGGATCCGTCGAGTTTGTGCTCGAGGTGGGGCGCTTTGCCAACATCGCTGTACGTGGAACCGCCAACAGACTGCTGCCATGGGCGAGCCGGCAACCAAGAAGGCCAAAACCGAGCGTATCTTCTTGTTCTCGTCTGAGTCGGTGAACGAGGGCCACCCGGACATCACTGTCAGAAGCACAAGCTGCGAATGCCGTTCGCATGATATGTTCGTACGTATTGTCTGGCGTATGAATTAGCCTGGGGGTTGCACAGGGCAGGAACAGTGTCACCCCAGGCCAGCGTGCGCTAGTCAATGCTGGTAATGGAATTCGGCGTTGGTGGCAATCAGGGCCAGCGAGGCTGGCGGACTCTGATTCGTGCTTGTTTCGCAATTGGGTCTGGTGGGGCCCCTTCGGGCCAGTGTCTGGAACCCGGGTTTTGGTGAAATGATGGCCAGCGAGGCTCGTGTGAGCTAGTAGAGGCAGCTGTTGGGAACCAGCGTTGGCGGCAAACACAACTGGTGGGGGAAGATTTGGCGGAAATCGGGGCTGGTGTTTGGAAGCAGCGTTTGTGGTAATCAGGGCTGGTGGCCCAGTGCGGACTAGTAGGGGCCAGAGTGGGGAGCCAGCGTTGGCGGACATCGTTTGCACTCCATTTGGTCAGAATCCCTCAGTGCAAGCACAAGAGTTTTCAGAATTACAATGCTCAGCGGTGTAGCGGCAGTGGCTAGTGAGCCAGTTTGAGCTAGCTCACGGAAGCTGAACTTGCAGTTCCCACTATAATGAGCACCGTTACGAACAAGCTTCTTAAAAAACAAGCAGGAGTCCCCTGTGCAAGGCATTTTCTGGGGATCCTGGCCTCTGTCTGCTTCCTCCCTGGCAGGCTCTGTCGCACGAAGTGCCATGTGTTTTTTTTTGCCTCAGGCATTGTTGCCTGACCTCCGAGGACAAGCTCTGCGACCAGGTCTCCGATGCCGTGTTGGACTGCTGTCTGACGGGGGATCCTAAGAGCAAGGTCGCCTGCGAGACCGCCACCAAGGACAACATGGTCATGGTTGCGGGCGAGATCACCACCCAGACGGCGATCGATTACGAGAAGGTCGTCCGCGGGGTAGTGAAGAAAATCGGCTTCGACACCTACGTTGATGACCTGTCCAGCGTGGACAGCAAGGGGCTGAGCGACACCACGTGCGAGGTCCTGGTGCGCATCAACAAGCAGAGCCCCGATATCGCGGGCGGCGTGCACGTCGGCAAGGACGACATGGACGTCGGCGCGGGCGACCAGGGCATCATGTTTGGCTACGCCACCGACGAGACGGAGGATTGCATGCCGCTCACCCACTCAGTAGCGACCAAGCTCGGAAAGAAGCTCACGGACGTGCGCAAGGACGGCTCACTCTGGTGGCTGCGCCCAGATGGCAAGACGCAGGTCACCATCGAGTACCTGCAGAAGGCAGACGGCTCTGTGGAGCCCCAGAAGTTCCACACGATCGTCATTTCCACGCAGCACGCTGAGCCCCTGAAGGCCACGCGGACCAAGGAGTGCGCCGGCTACACGGGCGCAGAGATGACTGCACCCAGCATGGAGGCCATGAACAAGGAGATCGTCGAGAAGGTGATCAAGAGTACCCTCTCAGAGATCAAGCTCAAGAACGGTAAACCGGCGCTCACCCTTTTCGGAGACCATACTCACTTGCACATCAACCCGTCTGGCAAGTTCATCATCGGAGGCCCCCAGGGCGACGCAGGCCTCACAGGCCGCAAGATCATCATCGACACCTATGGAGGCTGGGGCGCCCACGGCGGTGGCGCCTTTTCCGGCAAGGACCCAACCAAGGTTGACCGCTCGGCGGCGTACATTTGCCGGCAGATGGCCAAGTCTGTGGTGAAGAGCGGCCTTTGCAAGCGCGCGCTGGTGCAGCTGTCCTACGCCATCGGCGTCGCGAAGCCGCTGTCGCTGTTTCTGGAGACCTACGGTACCGAGCAGGGCAAGCTGTCGGCCGAGGACATCACCAATGTGCTTAAGATCGAGTTCGACTGCCGCCCTGGCGCCATCGCGGTGACGCTGGCTCTCCGCGAGCCTAAGTATCAAGAGACGGCGGCCTACTGCCACTTCGGCCGTGAGCCTTACACCAAGGACGGCAAGAAGTTCTTCGAGTGGGAGAACGCCAAGGACGTCAAGAAGTACGCATCGATGGATTCGGCGCAGGTCGCGGCGGCACTGAAGGCGAGCAACTACCTGACCAAGTGGGTTGACTGAGTGAGTGGTTTCTCATGCCCCAGGTATGGTGCCCTCACAGATTGATGTGCTGCAGCTCAGGTGCCTGCGGCGCATAGTTTTGCCATTTCGGCACCACGCCCAGATCCGCGAGCCCTTCATCCCGGTGGGGAGCCTGTGCGTTGGGGTGGTCGGCTTGTACGCCTCTTGAAACCTCGCGTGACCAGACACCCTCGTCAGACTCATAGGGCTGTCGACACATCTCCCAGACACGGGAAACTCAGCCCTGGGCACTGGTATGGAGCCCCCCGCTCCCAGAGCCACCTGGGAGACTCCCCTGTGCCCCCCTCCGAAGGCTCCAGAAGCCCCAGTGCGCCTTCAGTGCCCACCGCCAACATTGCCACACGGCTTCTGTAGGATTCCAGGAGAGCCCAAGCGGGCCCAAGAGACCCTAAGATGACTTTACGACGGCCTCGAGAGGCCAGAAGAGGGACTCAAGAGGATACCCTGGTGGCCTAAATCAGTAACAGCCTAAACTTTTTTTTCAATTTCTGACAACATGCGGAGGCCTAACATTATCCCATGAGGGCCCCAATCTGGCCCACAATAGGGCCGAGGAGGACTTTCCGAGGAGCCCAAGCCAACCCCGACGGCCCTCCAAGATGGCCCACACGCGCACCCGGATGTCTCAGGATGGCTACAAGATGGCCCCACGAGAACGCAAGAGGTCATTCCCAAGAGTGACCAGGATCGCTCTAAGGTGGAACTACAAGGCCACATGTCCGATCCACGAAGACCCCACACGAGCCGACATGGCCCAAAGACAGCCCAGAGGTGACCGCGCGAAACCTCCACCATGGGAGTATGACGATTACGAGGATGATGAGGATGATGGTTATTTTGGCGATGATGGTGATGGTGATGGTGATGGTAGTGGAGATGGTGATGGTGATGGTGAAACTGATGATGATGCTGATGATGGTGATGATGATGAGACTGATGAAGATCATTTTTATGATGATGGTGGTGATGCTGACGATGACGACGACGATGATGCTGATGATGATTATGGTGATGGTGACGGTGATGGTGATGATGTTTGCGACGACGATGATGATGAGGAGGAGGATGAGGCGGAGAAGGATGAGGACAAGGATAATGCTGTCCATGATTATGGTGATGCTGATGATGACGACGACGGCGATGATGCGGATGACGAAGTTGATGCTGCTGCTGCTGATGCTGGTTGTGACGATGATGAGGATGATCAGGATGATGCTGTTGTTGTTGTGGTTGTTGTGGTTGTTGTTATGTTTGTTGTTACTGTGGTTGTTGCTGTTGCCGTTGCTGTAGGTGTTTGGTGTTTTTTGTTGACGTTGTTGAATTTTGGTGTGTCGTTGTTGTCGCTGTTGTTGCCTTTGCTGCTGCTGTTGGTGTTGTTGTGATGGTTGGTTGCTGCTGCTGCTGTTGTTGTTGTTGTCGTTGTTGTTGCCGTCGTCCTCGTAATCGTCGTCGCTGTTGCTGCTGCTGTTGTTGTTGTGGTTGTTGTCGTTGCGGTTGAGGTTGTTATTATTGCTGATGTTGTCGCTGTTGTGTCTGTTGTTGTTGCTGATGCGGATGAGGACGCTCGTGATGGTCAGGTACATGCTTGGCTTGATGGTTCAGTGGTGGTGATGGTTCTGCAGTGGGGGTGGAGGTGGTGGAGGAGTTAACACCCCCCATGCTGCCCCCCTTGCTCCTTCCTCTTTCACCCTCATCCTCATCCTCATTCCCGCCCCTTCCTCATCGTCCCTCTGCTTCCTCCTCTTCCAGCTCGTCCTCGTCCTCGTCATCCTTATCCTAAAGACTTGGGCCATTCCGCCGATCCCCCGACGAGGGAATAAGTCCACGGTGAGGCTTTTGAAGGCCTTTTGGGGACCATTTGGGAGCAGCTGGGGGCCTCTTTTGGGCCTTTTGGGGACTCTAGGGGGTTCTTGGGCGCTTACTGGCGGTCCCGCGGGCCCTTTCGGGGCGGAGGGCAGGAACTTTCAGGTTCAGTTATCTCTCTTGGGCCCCTCTTGAGTCCTGTTGGGCCCCCGTGGGCCGTTTTGGGCACCTCTTGGGCCGTCTTGTGGCCCTCGTGGACTGTCTTGGGACCCTCTCGGGGGCTGCTTGGGTCGTCTTGGAGCGATCTCTGGGGATTCTTGAGCAGTCTTGAACGCTGTTTGGACAAAAAGCGGATATGCTGATCATGTACGTTTTTCTCGAGGGAATTTGGCGTTTTTGTTTCTTCTTGGGGTCCTTTTGGGGGTCCTCGTGGAGCCATCTTGGGGCGTCCTGGAGGCTTCTCGGGCCATCTTGAGGCCATAATGGCTGTTTTTGAGGCCCCCTCGGCGTGTTGGAACTCAGCTTGAGCCAGCTTAGATGACATCTTGGGCACCTTGGAGACCACGGAGTGTGGCTTTCGGGGCGACCTTTGGGGCGCCTTGGGCCGTCTTGGATTTTTGAAAAAGCCAGTATATTGACGTCACTGGGGACCAGCAGCTTTCGCTTCAGGGCTTCCTGGGCGTCCTCTTGGAACCTTCTTTGGGCGTCTTGGGGGCCGCTTGGGTCTTGGCCCGTCCTGATGCTATCTTTGGCCGTCTCGGGTCTCTCTGGGTCGTCCCTGGTTTGTCTTTGGGTTTCTGGCCCCAGCTTTGGATCTGTTTGAAGTGTATGTAAGTCGCCTGCGGGATCTATTATCGGACGACGCGCGCTGCTATGCAAGGGGTCCGGCCCCAGAAGCACCAGACAACAGGCAAGCCTCCTGGCACCCCCTTGCGTTCCGTTGGCACGGTGGCAGATGTCCAGGCAAGAAGGAGGACAACAACAGGACAACACCAAGATCGATGGCTCAACGATGTTGCACGACACCCTCCCGTTCCAGGTCCCCTCCCCACCTGCCCCCGCAGAGCATGCCTGTCAGGAGGGGAAAAAACACACCGGCACAATTAATCGTCGATTCCCAGGAAAATATATGGGAAGAGGGGGGGAAGACGAAAATCCAACAAACATGGGTAAATATTGGGAATCCTGTTATTTGCGTGTATTTATTTCTGTGTCCCAGGGCCCCTTCAAGCATGCCTCCTCACTGCGCGAACCGCCCCCTGTGGAGACGAGCGCCCAGCGGGTGGGCCATTCGGGAGGGAGCTCAGTTTTGAGAGGACCTGCCTCGCATCCTGCGAGCTACGAGAGGAGGAGGAGGAGGAGGAGGAGGAGGAGGAGGAGGAGGAGGAGGAGGAGAGGCCGGGGCATTATGGAGTCCCTGTGGGTTTCAGACGAGTTTTTACGATCTTTCACGTTGCTCCTCATCATTATCCTTACCATTACCATTACCATTTCCATTTCCATTACCATTAATTACCATACTACTACCACTACCATTACCATTACCTTTACCATTACCATTCCCATTCCCATTCCCATTCCCACTACCATTGCCAGTACCCATACAATTGCCATTGCCAGTCCATTCCCATTCCCATTCCCATTCCCATTCCCATTCCCATTCCCATTCCCAATACCATTACCTTTACCATTACCATTACCATGGCAATTGCAATTGCCACTGTCATTGCCATTCCCATTGCCATTCCCAATACCATTACCATTACCATTACCATTACCATTACCATTACCATTACCATTACCATTACCATTACCATTACCATTACCATTACCATTACCATTACCATTACCATTACCATTACCATTACCATTACCATTACCATTACTATTACCATTACCATTGCCATTGCCATTGCCATTGCCATTGCCATTGCCATTACCATTACCATTACCTTTACCTTTCCCTTGACCTTTACCTTTGCCTTTACCTGTACCCTTACCCTCATAATTCCCATTTCCGTTGCCACTACCACTACCATTTCCATTCCCATTCCCATCCCCATCCCCATTCCCATTCACATTACCATTACCATTACCATTACCTCTACCTTTATCTTTATCTTTACCATTACCATTACCATTACCATGGCCATTACAATTGCCATTGCCATTCCCATTGCCATTCCCATTGCCACTGCCATTGCCATTACCAGTGCCGTTGCCATTGCCATTGTATTGCCATTGCCAGTCGCCACCCTGTTACCATTACCATTACCGTTACCATTACCATTACCATTACCAGTACCATTACCATTACCACTGTCATTACCATTGCCATTGCCATTCCCACTACCATTAGCCACTACCATTACCATTACCACTGCCATTACCATTAGCATTACCCACACCATTGCCATTACCATTACCATTACCATTACCATTACCGCTGCCATTACCATTACAGTTCCCATTCCCATCACCATTGCCATTACCATTACCGTTACCAGTACCGTTTCCATTACCATTACCATTACCATTGCCATTATTATTACCACTACCACTACCTTTTCCATGCCCGTTCCAATTACCACTACGATTCCCATTCCCATTCCCATTCCCATTCCCATCCCCATCCCCATTACCATTACCATTACCATTACCATTACCATTACCATTACCATTACCATTACCACTACCATTACCATTACCATTACCATTACCATTACCATTACCATTACCATTACCATTACCATTACCATTACCATTACCATTACCATTACCATTACCATTACCATTACCATTACCATTACCATTACCATTACCATTACCATTACCATTACCATTACCATTACCATTACCATTACCATTACCATTACCATTACCATTACCATTACCATTACCATTACCATTACCATTACCATTACCATTACCATTACCATTACCATTACCATTACCATTACCATTACCATTACCATTACCATTACCATTACCATTACCATTACCATTACCATTACCATTACCATTACCATTACCATTACCATTACCATTACCATTACCATTACCATTGCCATTGCCATTGCCATTGCCATTATTATTACCATGACCATGACCATGACCATTATCATTACCTTTGCCATTGCCATAGCCATTGCCATTGCCATTGCCATTGCCATTGCCATTGCCATTGCCATTGCCATGGTCATTGCCATTACCATTACCATTACCGTTGCCATCGTCATTGTCAGTGCCATTGCCATTGCCAGTCGCTACCCCGTTACCGTTGCCATTACCATTACCGTTACCGTCACCATTACCATTTCCAGTACCATTACCATTACCATTGTCATTACCATTACCATTGCCATTGCCATTGCCATTGCCATTGCCATTCGCCACTACCATTACCATTGCCATTCGCCACTACCATTACCATTACCATTGCCATTGCCATTGCCAGTCGCCACTAACATGACCATTGCCAGTACCATTACCATTCCGATTCCCATTCCCATTCCCAATATCATTACCATTACCATTTCCATTACCATTAC